AAATTAATGGTATAGGAATAAAATAGTTGCTTAAAAAATATAAATATCTAGCTTTGAAATTAAATAAAATTCTAAACTTGTACTTCCAAATAGTTGTTCTAAGGCGGTAGCTAGAGCTGGAGCCTTATTCTGAATATTTCCCCACATTGTTTTAACCTAGCGAATATATCGGTTCAATAGTTACGGAATAGGGCTCCTCATCCAGAAGCGGCGGGACCGCAAACACCTAATAATATGTTCTCGCTTAAAGAATTAGATAAACTTTATTTACGAATTACCAAGTTGACCATTGTCCAATTTTTATTGCTTTATATGTCACAAAATAAACAACCAAGATTGAGATTAATGGCAAAAGAGACCTTGAATTTCCAGTGTTCCTTTTCGATATACAGGTCGAACTGTTCAATTAGAACATAAATCAAACAGGATATGGGGTTAATATGACGGTTAAAATTTTGATAAATTTGTTTGCATAAAGTATATGGACAAATAAGCAAGTGATGTGAGTGACGTAACCATTACCTCTTGAACTGCCTAGATATTTATAAATTAATAATTATTATTAATAAATTAAATTCGCCTGAAAATTTTTATCAATTAAATCAAAACGCGCATAAATAAAAGTAAAGCGCCAATCTTTCTATATATTTTAGAAACCTATTTATTATTATTGTATAATGATATCATGCGGATTTTAAGGTATTTGTTCGACTTGTTTGACATTTAAAAATAGTTTTTTCTGAGAAATTTAATACTGCTACTAGTAATTTACTGCGATAATAAAAAACAATGTTAAATTACCAACGTGCGACATGATGTCATATCTATTTCTTTAAATGAGTAGCTATATAACGACTTATAGGTATTATCAAACTAATGTAAAACAAAACTAGTTAGTTGCTAAAGTACTCGTAGCGTTAGATAATTTATTCAAAATACTTGGAATATAATAAATATACTCATAAACACCATAAGATATTTTGTTATTGTAAAATCTAGTCATCTACCCAACAACTTCAACTACTTCAAATAATAAAGGCATTTTGAAAAAGTAATTAAAAGATAAAAAAAAACGCTGCTAAGACTATCAAAATGTTGATCTAATAACAATTTGACGTAACTTTTTTCCAAAGCCTACCATGACTTCACTGAATCGTCGACTCTTGTTGACTGTTATTAATATCTTAATTATTAGATATTAATACATCTGATATTATGGTATTCTGGTATATCGGCGGTTTTAAAATAAACTAACTGTTTCTATCTTAATTTTTTATTAAAATAGGCATAATCAAGAGGGTTACTGATACTGTGTTGTAAAAATAAGGTAATTAAGGGCTTATTATCTGGTATTTATTGTAATTTTGCTAATATCTGCGGTTTTACCTGACTTTTTAAGCTTTTACTACTCTTTATTATCAGCTAAAATTACATATACTATATGTGTATATCGTATTTAATTTTTTTGAAAAAACGCGCTATATTTGTTAAATTGTAAGAAAGCGCCCCCTATCGTCTACGTTCAAAACCTTATTATTATTATTATGGTATAATATAGATCAAGAAATGCTCTTTTAAACGAGCTCTCCTTTATTGGCTATCATCCAGTCCGGAGTTATTAACATTTAAATAAAGATAGATCTAACCTTCCCCCACCACTTTATTTTAGCAGATAGGGGAAAATGGTTCTAACAAAAAAAATCCAAAATTTACTGAGAATTTTAAAGCTATTATTTATAGTACCCATTATCTAGGCAAAATTCTGTAAAAATCCTATTTTCTTATTTTCCATAGCAGTTGCGCCCTCTAGCGGCCGTTTTACAAACTTGAAAATAATTTCCAGCAATTTCTCATAGCCCCTTTAGTTATAAATATTTTTTTCCATAAGCCCTATGGCTAATACTTTCCGAGATACAGCCGAGAGCTATTCTTAGTGGGACACCCGGTACATGATTAAAATTTAAAATAAGGTGATTTCGTGTACTATAGGAGATTAATGACATGTTTTTAACAACCGGTATCTCCCAAATTTTGAGCCGCTGAAACTTCAAACCGTTTAAATGAAAATTAATCGTATTCTTAACGTTCCAAACCATCCACTTATCTTATTAAAACCACCAAACCAGCATGAGTTACGTCATTGGTTTATTAAGACGTCTTTGCTTTGCTCGGTATCTGTGACAGGTGACCTAACCATTTAAAAATACATTCATTCGTCTTTGGCGAATCCGACATTGAATTTTAAATATAAAAACGGTTGGTTGTGAAAGCGATTTCGACCTTGGACCATACAACATCTAGACACGTAATTTGGTCGACATCATGTAACCTACTTAAATCACAATATGATATCATTTAATATAAAAACTAAATACAAAAGAAATTATTGTGTTCTTAATTTATACAGGGTGAGTCTTAAATAAGTGGAAATAATTTTAGCGGTGGTATATTTCGACCCCAGAAACACGTCTACGAGGTTTTTTCGCGTTTTTTTTTTCTTTTGAAAGTTTGGTATTTTTAGAAAAGAATTTTGGAGTTTATTTAAATTTTTAGTCAAAAAATATAAAATCTTGATATTATGGCAGCATAGGTACTAGATAAAATTTACAAAAAAAGGAATACCAATACTTTTGTGACGTTTGAAAAAAAAAATGTTTTATTTTGAGAGCTTGTCAAAACAAAAATAAAAACAATTAACAACTTTGTAGAACAGTCAGCTGTAAACACCGAAAAATAATAATGAACAGAATATAAATACTATGCCTACACAATATTTTAGAATTCACGCCGAAAAATATAGATGCCGAAATCAGACAAATGTAAATTTAAGTGTTCTTTTACCTCAAAATGTATCTTTTTCATGGTGTTTCTCACTGTATCACCCACGCCACGTCATAAAACAAAACTCTTACTACACTCTGTCCATGTGATGATCTGCTTTGATTTATATTTCTTAACTCCGCCCGAAGAAACGCTTTGACTTATACTACATTGTGATTCCTCAAAAAACACGCTAATACGTATCTTTCTTCTACTATAAGAGGATAGTGAGGTCATTCTTGATAAATTCGGACGTTCGGTTTGCAGACGATACAATCAAGTCATTTCTAAAAGTAAACGCCAAACATCTGACAAGAGGATGGTGAAGAGACAACTAATTTTACTTTTATTAACACTTAAGAGAAGCAAATATTTGCACAGATATAAAATGTTTTGTTCAAATATATAAATATAATTTTAACAGTAGGCGGTTATATGCTTTTATAATAATATGTTTAAAAAATATATTTTTACGTAATACGTTGGGAAAATTGGATCTAAAATTTTAATAGTAAATAAATAATTAAAAAACGAAGGCCTAATTCATTTTTTTCAGTGTCAGTTCAATTCAGTTGTGAGTCAGGAAAGAATTCGACAAAAAATAACAGAAAAAACAATTTACCTGTTTTATTACATTTTTTGGAAACTCACAATTTTTCAATTACACTTTCCTATACCTAACTATAATGGTTTTAGTTTTCTCTAAACATGTATAAAATTATGATAAAAATATGATCTTGAATAAGCACCGGTAAAATCACGAATTGAGCATATTCGTTAATAAGTTACAATTTGGGTTATAAATTAACGACAGTCGATATATATTAGATCTGTCTGTGTGTATTTGAATTAGCTCACACAGGAAGATAAAAATATACCGATCCGGTCATCGAAACTGCGTGGTCTGGATTTTAACGTGTAAGACAGTGATGTAGACAGCTTAATGGAAAATCCATTGTATTAAAAAGAGACAAAAGTTGGGTTGCTACAGCCGGATTGCCGGATTGTGCATCAAAATTTCAAACCGCACAAGTAGGCGTTTATGAAAAATGTTGCATCTAAAGTGGGAACTTTATTTTTCACAATTAGTTACTCATTTTACTACAGCTGTAATATATTAGATTTAGCTTAGATACATATATTATCTTCATTTCAGTAGTATACATGAAAGTTATTAAAATAGTTTTTTTTTCTATATACATTTTCATACGCACGTAAAAACCGGCAATACTGTAAGCCGTTTTTATTTTGTCGCTCTTTCTGTGAACCGGTCATTTATATTTATCTCTATCGCATACATTCAAGTACAGACCACACAGATGAGGTGATCAGACCTAGTCTGCATTTCGGTTTGTTATAAAATTGCTCAAATCTGTGTAATTTTAAATTAAACAACGAACAACGCACAAATTGATAAAAAAAACGACCTCAGGGATGGCTATGAAGATCATTTCCCTCATTTTATATGTAAAATTATATGAAAAATGTCATCGATCGTGATTTCCAAACCAACTGGACGCCGTTTTTGCTCGATTATACGGTTCGATCATACGGGATCATATATTATAAATATAAAAAAGATCTGTGTTTATTATATATAATTCTTGAGAATTATTATATAAAAATAAGATAGTGTCGCAGCTTATTCAATAGTCAGAATGATTGAATATTTGCAAATTTTCGAAAGTTGTCAAATAAGTAAAAAAAGATTTTGACAAACGACATCCATGACAGTAAATATAATTTACCAGTGAATTAAAATAACAGACAACTTCCACTACCATGTACCCTCTTGTTGGACAAACTTTAGTCCATTCAACGCTGTGACTCCTCATACCTAATTCCCTTAGACAGAGCAAAAAACTAATTTACCATAATACACCAAAACAATTTACTTTTAACAACGAGAGCGCGTTTTGTTAACCATTTTAGTATCATCAGCAGATGATTAAAACTGATATAGTGTTTTATTTTGCTGCTATAACACCAAAGGTTTCAGCCGTAATCTATAGTTTTCTTCGAGTTGACCGATTCTGAAACGCAACCCAGAAACGCATTCTGTCTAATTTTGATATAAAAACCAATAAACAAGCACTACAAATATGCTTATGTACACAAGAAAATATTTATCAACGTAAAATATAATAGCTCAGTCACAAAATATAATAAAGGGTACTCACCAAAGTTACTATGTCGTTGGGATTCAACTTGGCAACATCCTGCAGCCTTCCGTAGATCTCGTCCATCAGATACTGATATCTGGAATTGAATTCGTCCAGTTCATTGGCTACTATTTCTGCTCCTGATGCTATAAATTCCTGTTTACTGTAGATGTCGGTCACGTCCCAGGAAGGGTGGATTTCCAGGAGGGAGTCTCGATATTTCTGGATGCCCTTGCTCCATATCTATTGTTACGGTTAGATTGTTAGGTGTTAGTCAAGTGAGTGCGCACGCGTGGTAAGTCGACATTACATGAAGCTATGAAGAATAGTGGTGGGGTGTTGATAACGTGTATGGTATGGCGATGAAGAAGTAATCAGAGAATAGACTGACCTAGGTCGATTTATTTTTTTATGTTGTTGAAGAAAGAATATTTAATAAAAAAGTATCTACAGTATGTCCTCGGGTTGTCTTTACAAGAGGAAACTCTTATTTATTATTAACAATTTAGGGAAAATGCATTCTTTTCGTTATTCCCGTTTATGCTTTTCCAAATTTCCGTTATTTCCAAGTTATTGTTAATTCTGATTAACATCTTATTTTCTGCTGTTGCATTTTAAAGAAGCACAACATTTATATATTTCAGTGCGACAGAAAAGATCTAAAAGTAAAGTGTAAGTATAAGAGTGTTTCTTTAACATTAAAAATTAAACGTTAATCATAGAAATATAGATACATAGAAACGCGTTTTAATTTTTAGGTCTTTGAAAAATTCAACTATATTTTCATATTTCTTCTTAAATTTTCTTTAAAACCTTATCTAAAACAGTATAGAAATTCGGAAAAATATAAACGTGGTTAAACATTTAACAAAAAATATATTTAGGGAATACATTTTTCTCAAAAATTTAATAATAAAATAGTTTTCCACTTGTAAAGACAATTCAGGGAAATAGTGTGCATTCAGATGATTACAATATTTCAAATAAAAAATCTAAATAGGCATAGAACGTACGTTTCTGTTCGAGCTTGTACTATGCCACTGAACAGAAAGACTAACGAAAGAGATTTTTATTTGTATACTCATTCATTAGAAACAGCAATGATGCTCAAGGTTACTATATTAAACAGGTTGCTTCGTAACTTTTGAACCAAGAGGATCGAAGCGGCAATTACGTCACAGGTATGCTACAGAACGTATAAAATCATAGATAAAGGAATCAAAAATAAAATGTAACGGACAAAAAGAGATAAATGGGCAATGTAATAAAGAAAACAAATATCAAACAACTGAAAACTATGGACGCCATACACAATGAATATCGATTTGGAAATGTACTGTCGGACTGTCGGCAATTTTTATCCCTATATCTATAATCGGTGGCATACCTGTGACGTAGTTGATGTGAAGTTTCCGATAATGGCGGATCGAGTTACGAGATAACCTTAATCTTTTAATATTTAAAATTAAATCTTAATCATGGCATCGATCCTTGATCGATGCCATGAAACTTTCATGGAAATGCCATCGTCTGTCAGTTTTGTTTGACGTTTCGCCCTAGATAAAGGAAACAAGTTTTGATTGGAATTCTCGGTCTGCCGCCAAAACTTATAATTGGTTTGAAGTACATACGTTGTAGAGCGCTGCTTTAGCGGTTGCTAAGAACAACCGCAAACAAGAACAGAAACAATTATCTCTTGTCAAAGTCAGAATCTTCAAAAATTATCAAATCTTTTAAAATTTAAACCGCCCTGTTTGAAAAAATACGTCCATTTTCAAAGTAATTTTATCCCATTTATCTTGTGAGTTTAATTTAAATTTTATTTACTCAAACTCGTGATAATTGTGAAAAAGTGGCATTAAAAACTTAAAAAGCTTATATGCAACACACTGTATTTTATTTAAAATTTAAAAGAAAATAATAATACACTTGAATAAATATTTGGCGACATAATTCCGGAAAAAGCAGAACCGCTCCGAAATTATCAAAAGCTTTGGAGAGCGACCGTTATAAGACTAGCGCCAAATAGTATTTACATTGTCCCTATGAGCACTTTCCAATCTAAACTTGTTTCTTTTATCTATGCGTTTCCCTTGATTTATATGAAATTGACAATCATGGATAGACCAGCATGGTTTCTTTTTCCTCACTAGATTGAAAGTATTCCTTGCTGCTGATAAATATTTCTCTACAAACTGGCTTATGTTCCGAGTGTTGTCTCTTATGAATACAAACACACGTTGGTAACATTCGAACATGTTGTAGAATAAAGAATGAGTGGAAGGGGTGTTAATCACTGCTAAATATTTGTCTTCCTTTCTTGAGTTATAACTTATCATACAGTCTATACAATTAATCATACATGGAGATCTTCCTTATAGGGGGGGCAGGACCTATCCTCCTCTGACAACAACTGTTCATCCTCCGAGGAGCGGACATCTACCTCCTACGAGGGTATAAAACCTTCCACGGTTGGGGTTTAGCCCTCCTTGCCCTTCACAGTCAAGGGGCTTGTCTCCGCCTGAAGTACCCTTGAGGTGGAGGCTGGAGGATCTGTCTCCATTTCCTCTTTATCTGTCTCCATTTTCTCTCACTTCTTTAACTTGGTCTCTTCTTAGACCTAATAGCCCGGATCTATAATAGAGAATATATTTCTCTTTCTCTGTTGTTTTCTTGGATCGAGCCACAAACGATCGGGTATATGTCGTGTTCATGTCGTGTTGCTTCGTTTGTACTAGGCCTCATCTGTGTCCCCAAAGTGCAAAATCTGTTAATATCACCATTGTAAGGAGCCATATGTGACTTTTTAGAATTAGCCAAATGTGTTTTCGCATATTAGACACAAAGCTTCGTTTTTAACTAAAATTATTTTTATCTATGCGTTTCACTTGACTTATTTGAAATTGATTTGAATTTTTGCGCTGTTATGAGATTACTATTTTTTGTTTATTTTACAACGTCTATCAGGACTTACAGCGAGATTATTACGAATCTTAGACCAAGGATTCAAAAGTAGTTACTTGTGCAGCAAATGTATAATTTTAACATGTTTAAAAAAAAATAGAACGGCACTGGTAAACCGGAATTTAAGACAGTCATAAGTCAAGTAAGTCAAGTACCGTCGCAGTCGCGCTAATGCTGTTGAAATGCTCCTTCTTTAGTATTTTTATTTAATATGCTATGTAAGTTGTTAAAGTCTTTGGGGCAAGTATTAAAATATTGACAGCAATCGAGTAATTTATATTATTTGGTAGGCGTTTTTTACAAAATTTCTAACTGTATCTACTGATTACTTCTTATAAATATTGGTATTCAGAAACAGTCAATAAATAAACTAATAAAGGTTATAAATGAAATACGACTATCTAGTGAGACTAAAAGATGAAATAGATCTACTTAAGTTAAATGGCCATCACAAAATTTAAGTCTGATAAATGCGCTCCTAGTGTTTAACACAGATATTTGAAGTTATTTAGTTATATACTATTAAGAAATGAAGCACAAATACCAATATTTACGACAAAAGATATAATGAAACCTACAAAACCTATAACTAATAATGAAATGATCTGGATAAAATAATGTTTATCAATGACATTAACATTTAAATAATCCAGACATGATCTAAACCCCTTTACTACTCTTACAGATAGATGAAGATTAAGAAAGAAAGCTTTTCTAACAGTTGCTACTTACTACAAGCAGAAAAAAGTTACTTTTCACCAATAATTAAATTAAAAGACGGTCAAGATAAAGACAAAGAAGTTATATTATTTACTACACATTTGAAGAAAATAAGGTTAAAATATTATAGTTATTGATTTTTAAAAAATGTTATATGTACTCCTGTATGTAAAGTAAATAATTGACAATAACAAATATAGACATTCACTCCATCTACACGCACACAAAATACTTTCTAAAAACATTATATCACAGAATTACCTAACTATACAGAAGCGACACAGGCGATTTTCTCTTGACTTATATTTTCGAATTAGTAAAACTCCTTTAAAAACACTCATAAAAACACTGTTAAATGTCTATTAATGACAATTGTAAAAAAATATTTCCTTATAAATGGTCTCTTTACTGATATATTTTTGATATTTTGTAGAGAAATAAATCTAAATATATGCTGAATTGATTGAAAGTATAGGTTGGGAAGAAAGGGAAATGTCAATACTTCTCCGTACCCGTATTTTACATAAAAAAGTCAGGAAAGGGCATAGATGTGAAGACCCATCCTTGTAATAACGATCATTATAATTGTACTTTAAATTTATATTTTTTGAATTTGTTATTACCTAATTTACTCAAAAACTATAAAATACAGCTATATAAAGAAATCATTTTTCTCAGGTTCACTCTGACTTCAAGGTTAAAATATTTAGGACATATACTTCAAAAAAACCGACGCTTATTGGCCCTTCTATATAGCTAAGGTATTCTATGCTTGTATATTAAGAGTGAGAAATGGTATGAATATGTTCTGTGACAAACGTAATTTGCAAGTGGTAAAACTGTCTACAAAGGACGCTATTTTATTTATTATAAGGCAAATTGCTAACACAAAATTCAACAGTTTTACCATCTTGTAGAACTGTGTTTCTACTATAAACACTTTAGTATTTACCTTTCCTTCCCTGATGTATCTACCACCGTTTAGATTGACTTGTTCTATCTTAGGGGTGCGTTCCACTACAGCGTTTAACAGGTTCTGGAATTTTAAGTGCACATGTTACGGTGTTAGAGGGTTATTATTTTGGTACAATGTTACGCGTTTCCATACAAAAAAATAAGAATTAATCTTAGTTAAGGGACTACTATCAAAAATGTTGATAATGTAAAAATTAATTTTAAACAGTGACCTCATTATACAAAGGAAATATTTACATTCCTAAATACACATATCACCTCCTTTGAATAGTTAAAAGTTTTAATCTGTTGTAACCGATAAAATTAGCTTTATTTAATTGGATCAAACACCAAAATATTCCTTAATTAATTGACTCACAATATTATCTACTGTCTGTCCCATCATATTTATTAATATTCATTCAGTGGTGCAAAAAATATTAATGTTAATCATAAACTTACCCTTGTCGCATCCAATTGTTCTTTTGCTCTGTCTTTAATGGGTTGTAGGTTTTCTAATTTGCCATACTGATCATCCAACCAATTATCTTCTACCTGTTTGGCTTCTCCGTATTTTTGTAATAAGTCGTAAGCTTGTTTGCATCCCTTAAGTCTATCAGTTATTTGCTGACAAACTTTGGACCATCTTTTATTCAACCTTTGAATATCTTTATCTAGTCTTTCGACATCGGCGTGAGGTCCCCTTTGGTTAGGTCTGGACTTTTCAGTCAAGCGTCTAGCATTATCAAAATCGTCGTTTAACTGATCCATGGCCATCTGTTGCTGACCAGCATCTCTTTCCAATTTTGATAACTGTTCGTAAACGTTATTAAGTCCTTTTTCTGTGTTGGGAAGCTCACTGAAACTTGCCAGTTTGCTTTCGAATTTACTGATGGCTTCTTCGGCATCATCGATACCATTAAGAACGATTTCGATGCATTTGAGTCTTTCACTATATAGATTGCTGGTACTCCAAATATAGTTCCACTTATCCAGAACTTTTTCGAGGTCTTTTTTGTGCTGAGGCGTTTTCAAAGTAATTGACCTGAAAGTGTCTTTAACTTGCTCAATTTCTGGCTCAAGGTTTTGCAGGTGGGATTCGAATTCTTTATGTTCTAAGATTAAATGTTGTAAGGTGTCTACGTCTCTGGGTAAAGGAGCTATTACACGTTGGTTAATGATACGTTCGGCCTCATCAAGAGCTCGCTGAAGATTGGATATTTGGTGGTTGAAGATTTTGGTTTGGTTTTTGCTTTCTTCCTCGGCTCTGGCTCGTCTCTCGAATTCATCGAACAGACGGTTTACTTCGTCCATTTCTCTTCTTAACCTCCTTAATTGAGGATCAGAAGGATCTCCTTCCGCCATAAGCTTATCGGCATCCTCATTCAGAGCTCTCCTGATGGCATTTCTTTGTTCAGCACCAATAGCAATAAATTGTGGCAAGTCCCAACCTTTCACTACCTTAATAGTAGCGAAAATCATATTTTGTCTCATTCTAAGTTGTTTCTTTTGCCATAAAGCAAGAGACCTGTCATATTGTCTTCTCAAGCGATCTACTGCATCTAAAGCTTCTTTATCAGGTGGTGGAATCACGAAGCATACGCCAGGCACTTGACATTCTATACCCTTTTCATTGTGGACGCGCCATTTAATACGTCCAGAGTTGTCAGTTAAGGTGCATTCCTTATTTTTTTCAATTACAAACTGAAAAGAAAAATAATTATAATTATCAAATGACAAAGAGATGAAGTATATTGTGGCATACATCATTTTGCTTGTAATTGCAGATAGCAGTGACAATTATTGGTCTGGTTATGGGTTGTCTTCGTTGTTTCAATGGCGCTACATTTTGGGCTCTGGCAGTCAATGCTTGAACTTGATCACCAAACGAGTTAAGCTCGTCCCTCAGCGCTTGCATACCCTGAAGAAGTCGTTCGCCGACATCTAAACTAAACTCTCCTTGACTGAATTCGTTGTTCATGATTTCGTCTTTCCTAAAATTTATGTAGATTAGAATAAAATACTTAAATTATTGAAAAACATACTCTTTAAGCCATTCCTCCGCAGTATGAATATCCTTGAAAAACTGTTGGTAAACTCTGGTGTTTTGAAGATGGGTTTCCAGGCAGTGGGTCAATTGAAGTAACCAAGCCCACTGGGCATTCATGGCGGCCATATGTGCCTCGATAGCCTTGGTAGCGGGATGATTTTGTAGGACTAGAGCTTCGCCGCGTTCCAAAACTGAGTTGAATTGAATTTCTCGTTTTTCTAGTTCACTCATGAGATGCTAAATATAAAAAAAATAATTTTAATTAAAAGATATGTAAAATTGAATAAAGTGAGTATACCTCCCCACCATTTCCGAAATAATGCTGCATGAAACAGAAGATAATAAAAAATATATTAAATGTTTGTTGTTTAAATAAAATACCTAACATAAGGTGTCTTTTTAATAAGCGCAAGTAATTTAAGTGGTAGTACATCTTGACTCAAAACACAGGCCCTAAATTTTACAAAAATCGTTAAAAATTATACATTTACTGAAAAATTTTAAAAAAATTTAGTGTCGCCGGTTTATTCCTGGAATTTCGTTGCGGTGTTGGTATCTAGTCCTAACAATGTTGCCCCCCTCCCCCCTTACCGATACTCACATTCTACTTATTTGTTTATAAGTTTAGAGTTATTTTAAATGTATAGACAATAAATTACTAATTATATCATTGGAATTACTAATAATTATAGAAAAATATCCACTTAATACATTTATACAATTATTTTCAACTAAATTGAAAGAACAATAATTGTTAAAGCACTTTCCATCAATATAACTCTATAGATCCTTGTCCATATGATAATACAGGAAGTTGGGCGTCATTTGATACCGCCTTCGGCTGTTTGAGGTTGCCAACATGTAAGCTTTATCCTTAGCTTTTTTAAACATTGAATGTCAAATAACTCGATTATTTTTAATTTATGTTAAAAATAGTAAAGAGAAAATATGTTTCTTTAACCTCAATCTATCCCCATAAAATCCATGCACTTATTTGCAAAAAATGTAATATATAAGATTTCCAAATTCTAAGTATTTCTTAAGCAACATTTGACGGACTAAATAATTTTAAAATAGAGCACATTGTGTGTAGATCTTTAGTTATTAAGCAAGAATAAATCTTAATACTTACCTCAAAATGTTTTTCAATGCCAACAACGTCTAACTTAACGTCACTCCAATCTCTGGTAACTTCAATTTCCTCTTTTTCATTCAGCCATTGCAATTCCCTGGTCGCCGATTGCAAAAAGTCCAGCAAGCTATCCAAATCAGTCATGCGGTTGGTACTGAACGAAAGAAGTTCAGCATAGACTTTTTGAAGCTGACCCAAATGCTGGTTATAAAGAGTCAGTTCTTCGCCGCTGAAGTACTGTCTAGCCTTAACACACTGTTCTACTTTGGAATGATACTGATCAATGACCTTATGTTCTCTTTGATGGATGTCGCGTTCTTGCTGGACAGAGGGCAAGTCAGTTCCATAATCAGCCTTCTTCAGTTGTTTCTAATAAAAACAGTAAAGAAATATTAAGATTATACAAAACAAAAAACTTTTCAGACAAAATCACATTGCTCTCACAATATGGACAAAACTGATTAAAGTTAAACTCAGCTTGAACCTTAATATCAACTTTAGAACTTAAAATCTATATACATACCAGTTTATTCTTGCACCATTCGATGTGTTCTTGTAAAGACCTAAAGTGGGGATTGGTTTCGATATTTCTTGTTTCTTGTACGGTACGGATGTGTTTGGTAACTGTTCGCTCTTCCACTGGGAAACTCATGTTAGCCAGAGGACCGACAATTTTGTTGTGCAGATTGTGTCGCAGACGTACCCATTTTTCGTGCAGTTTGTTAACCCGTTTATCCAGTTCGCCAGCCTAGAGTAACAGACAGTGACAAAATATTAAAACTGATCGTCTTTATTTTCAAAATAATATAAAATAAAATAAACGAATTAAGGGTTATACAGAATGTTTTTATATTAATGAACGAATATATAAAGTATTATACGGGGGTGAGTTTTCTACGATGTTCTCTATGGTTATCTCGGAAACTACTCGAGATAGAGAGTCGGTTAAATGGAGCAAGAATTGCAGTTTTGTGGGATCTTAAATATGCGCTTGTCAGATTTTTGAAAAAGTTCATGGCTTACTAGATATTTCGAAAAAAACACAAATTTCGGCTATTTTAAAAATTGTCCCTAATTCCATTATAATCTATTTTAGACAAAAAGCTTTCAGATAAAAGTTGTAGATAATCACATCCCTAATGAGTTTGGGTCCTCCAATTTTTTCTAAAGCCTGTCATTTTTGACTTATTACACAAACATATGTTTTTTTAAATGGAAACCATAGTTGGCCATGACTCCATAAAAAGCGCCATTTTTTAAGCTTTTCTGCGATATAAGCTATAGGTACATAATATGTTTTTTTTTTACCGAAAAATTACAGAGTCATAGCCAATTCTTATAATTTTTAAACAATTTCACATAGTTAGCCATGGAAACAAGTTCAATCGTCGTTGCTCTTAGGAACGTGAAACTGTCACATCCAAACTTAAATTAAAATTAACAAAAATTATAAAAATATGAATTTTCCAAATGAAGAAAAGCGTGTAGGATTATTGGTTCAACTTTTCTGGGCCATACATTTTCGAGGATACGTTGACCGGTGAACGTTACTTACGTTTTTTAGAGAACGGTTTTGAAGACATGTTAGAAAAGTGAAATTTAGATACTCGCGCATCGATAGAGTGATTCCAACATAACATTCACTATGATCCACCCCCATAATGAGAGAATTGATACAGTAACCTAATTCTACACGTTTATTAAATATTAAGAGGAACTTGACCTACCTGGGGGTATCTGCCATTACGCAAAGTGTTTACGTCTGACTTCAACGACTGTATGGCTTGTTCAGTTACGACAAGGTCGTGGTCGATTTGGTCAGCGATCTTCTTAGCCTCCAGCGGGTGAATTCGGTCGATCCTTCTTGATTCGGTCTCGATAGCGTGTTCGATTTGATCGAGATGACCGTCGGTTTGTTTGATTTCTCTGCAAGAAGCAAAAATTAAGAACTAACAATAAAATCAATAAGAATTAAGAGAGATTGTGAGTAGTTTTCATAATTCTTTAAACTAGTCAAATTAACTGGAAACGTCTTATTTTATTTCCAAATTTAATTTGGAAAATTAAATAAGACGTTTCCAGATTTATTTCCAAATTTAATCTGTCAAATATGATAATCATATTTGAAGAGTAAGAGAAAAAACAGAACATGTCATAAATCTGGCTCATAGAGAAAACGATGATTTCATGTTGCCAAATACCAAGGAAAAGAGATAAGGATTGTTTGATCTCCATACTTCATTTACTGTCAATTTTTTGTCATCTAAGGACCAAGTTGAATTTCGCACTAAAGATTTTAGACAGTGAGTTATTTATTTGAAGATTCTTGCGTTCTAACGTTTTATTTTTGTTCAAAACTATTATTTTGGTATTTTTGTTAAATGTTAATTAGTTAGCAGTAGGGTAATTCCGATTGAGCTGTAAATATGTTTCTAACACATTTTATTTAATTAAATTAAATATCTTTTTCTTTTCTATTATTCGTAAAAATAGAATGTCAAGTCACCGATGTGCTATTTTTGGGGGTAATAATAACCAATTTATTACTAAAAAATCTAATTTAATTTCCGAAATGAAAAGAGTATAGGATTATATAATATAAAGCTCAAATAGAGCATTCCTATTATATGCCTATAGTTTACCGTCATGGGTGTATCATTTATCGTTTGGAGGTCTTATTATTAAACCGTCACCATTGTTTAAAATAAAAATTAAAAACTGAAATCAATATTTTTTAACACACCATAAAAAAAGGAGTTTAAAAAAGGCCCTTTAGTAGCCAAAAGATTAGATTTAAAAATAAAAAAATATGGAGAACTACCCTTCGAACTTATTTATACATTTTGTAAGTTGAGAACAATAATTATTCCAATGAATTATTTAAATATTAAAAAAATAAACAGACAATCTGAAAAAAGAAAGTTTGAGCAGTCTGATTTTGAAGGTATTTAAAAGATATGTAGTTTTATTTATGTTCGTTTTATATTAAAATATACCTAAAATTATAATATATAATATACAGGGTGTCCCAGGCTGAGCGTGCATTAGAAGCTTCTAGAGAACTACAACATCTAGCTCGGACATTTTTTGCACATCATAGTTTCACAACGAGATCTATCGATTTAAAATATTTCCAATATGGCGGCACTTCCGGAAAAACCGGAAGTTGACAACAACTTTCTTATTTTAAATGGGTGCCCCCATTTTTTATTGTGTACTTAAATTCTATATAAAATTTTATAAATTTTGATATTTAACACTCTATATCTAACATTAACCGTTTTTGAGAAGAAAAAAATATTTAAAATTTTTGAACGAAAAAAACTGCCTGTCAAAAATATGTGCATAGCCTAAACGTCAAATTTAGTGATTACCACAGCCACTATGCCATAAAGAGAAAACATGTGGCTATCTATTTCAAAAATTAAATTGTTCGAATGTCATATATTAGTGGCCGCAGCTTTCATAGAATTGAGCGATTAAAAAAGTATCATAAATTATTTTTTTTAAATGGAAAGCCACTTTTTTTTTATTTCACTAGTGAAAAGACTTTTTAATTCGTTACTTTTTTTTAACTAACATGTTCCTATACCTAAAATAAATCGTTTTTGAGTTATTTAAGATTTAGTTTTAAAGCGTATATTTTTCTTGATTTTAACCAGTAGTCTATGACTTTAAACGTCAAGTGAGGCAAAACAATAGATCTGGCCATGTCATATTGTGACGCTTTGTTCAAAAAGCAGCATCATTTTCGAGCCAACTTTGCGCTGTTTTTTTTTTCGATCATACGGAATTTAATTTATAGTTGATATTATTAATAATATCAACTATTAGATATCACTAAAGAGCGAGAATACAAGATATATTTTTATAAATACACTTTTTAAACACTTACGGCAGGCAGTATTTTTAGTATTTATACTATAGGAAATTCAAATAATTCGTTTTCTGACAGATGGAAATAAATTGTCTGACCGTTTGACACTTAATGTCAAAGGAAGCTACTTAGTTAAAATCAATAAAAATATAGGTTTTCAAACTCAATCTTAAATAACTTAAAAACGATTTATTTTAGGTATAGGAACATGTATAGTTAAAAAGTAACGAATTGAAAAACCGTTTCATTAGTGAAATAAAAAAAGTGGGTTTCCATTTGAAAAAAATGATTTATGATAATTTTTTAATCACTCAATTCCATGCCATCTACCGCCATTATTACATGACATTTGAACAATTTAATTTTTGAAATAGATATCCACATGTCTTCTCTTCATGTCACAGTGGCTGTGGTAATCACTAAATTTGACTTTTAGGCTATACAAATTTTTTTGACAGGTAGTTTTTTTCGTCCAAAAATTTTAAATAATTTTTTCTCAAAAACAGTTAATGTTAGATATAGAGTGTTTAACATCAATATTCATAGAATTTTACAGAGACATATCCACCAGGGACGTTCATGTGGATTATTACTGGAATATTTTTCTAAAAAAAGCATGTGCGCCACTGACTTTTTTTTCGCTTGTTAGCAAAATAGTGTAACCAGTTTAATGGCGATTAAAAATTGTTTCTTGATATTTTGTCGATTTCGGCCTCCTTGATGAGATAAACGCAATTTTATTAATTTGCCTTGATTCAAGTCAAGACAAATTAAAGGTTGCTTACCGTTCAAAAAAAAATATATTTTTTTTAATAAGTCGAAGCTTAGCATTTTTCTATTTATATCTTTCCTTATAAATAATAATACTTGTAAGCAAATATAGAAAATGTAAGAAGAGTCAACTACTTAAATCGTAAATCTTACCTGTGTACTTTTTCGGCCAATCTTTGCAACTTTTCTAACCTCTTGATTTCTTCCAATATGTGCCTGTCTCGTTCTTGATACGCGTTCATCAAACGCTGCCAATTCCTTTCGATATTATCAATATGCAACTCGGGTTCTATATCAACCTGCAATATCAAATACAATGACCCAGTAACAATGTCGTCTCAATTTACCAATGAATACTAATGAACGAAACAAGGTGTAAACATAATGCTTACCTCGCCTACGCTCTTGAAGTACTTTTCGAGGTCCCTGAAAAGTTGATGGCAGTACTGTTTGTCCCTTTGTCTTGGTGGTATCTCGTCGGTGCGGAACCTTTGAGATTCGGCGGCTAGTTTCTTCATTTCGATCAGAGTAGGTGGGAAAGCGCGATCCTAAGAGAGAAAGGAAGTAATAAGTCAGAAAATACAAGAACAAATGTTGTAGTAAATTAAAGACTAATCTTAAAGTAAATAAAATAAGTAACACAACTACATATTACTTTTAAGCTGGCTTGGAATTTATTATAATATATTATAATAAAATTAAGATAAGTCGAATTTCGTGACATATGTACTAATAAATATAATGATATGATATTCTTTTCTCCTAAGTTTACCTGCATGAGACTGTACTTTTCTCTGATCCACATATGCAAGCTGGAAGCAATTTCTCTATATTCTTGTACACGTTGTTGAGCGGCAGAGTCGTAGAGAGGATGAATTGGCGGAGGCTCTGGAAATACCTCGTGCAGAGACGAAATGTAGGTGATGAGCGACTTCTCATCAGGTTCATGAGTGTCAACATCTGAAAAAAAGATAAATTGTCAATATCTGAATAACAGAGGTACAATGGTATTTATATAGCTTCTGCAGGTCCTACATCGTTAATAGTTAATAGTGATATAACGAATATCACTCGGAATGTCACTTTTTAAACTGATATTCGTTAAGGCGAATGCAAATATCTGTCGTCGTAAATATTAATTTGTTGTTAAAAAGTATATAAAAGATTATGGATGGTATAATTAAAAATAAAAAGAACCTTTAAATGTTTTCTAAAAAAGTTTAATTTTGGAATACCATGATTATTATTAGTATTTTTAGTTATAAAAGAAGATCATTGTTTCAAGTACAAAATAAAAGATTTATATAAAGTTCGACAAAAATTTAAAAAAATGTTAAAATATAATTTTATAAAAAATAAGAACTTTAATAGAAGAGTATTTATTTTGGTTTCTTAGTTCTTTTGTATATTTTAGTTCGAACTGGATGTATACCATGATAGTAAGACCCATGATTACCTATGGAGCAGTTGCTGGGTACACAAAACTACAGCAACGCACAGCAAGGCAAAGCCTGTGCAAAGTACAGAGACTGGCATGTATCTGCATCACAGGTGCCATGAGAACAAGTCCAACAGCAGCAATGGAGGTCATTCTAGACCTAACACCACTGCATATTGTCGTCGGTAGTTATGCCAATGCGACAATGATTAGAATGGGCATTGACGGACAGTACTGGGAGAATTTTCTGGTCAGGGGCATGAAACACCCCCAAAAAGGAAGTTCCATTTCTCCAACTCCCAGTGGATGACATACCAATAATTTACAACTTTGAGAAACACCTAACTGTAGTATTGAGTAATAAAAAGGATTGGAAGGAAGAAACGCTTACTCAGCATGTAAAAGACCATACTATAACGTGGTATACCGATGCTTCCAAAACCAAAGCAGGGACAGGGATAGGAGTATTTGGGCCGAAAACTAAATACTCCGAACCATTGGGCACCTACTCCAGTATCCTTCAGGCAGAAATTTATGCTATCGAAAGATGCGTACAATTTATCTTCGAAAACAGGAAATTGCCATCCTATCCGATAGTCAAACAGCACTAAACGCGGTCAACTCAGTTTAACCTAACCATCAATTCGAAGTTGGTCAAAGAATGCCTAGAGAAGCTTAACAAATTAGGCAAAGAAAATAAAGTCCTCCTACTCTGGGTGCCTGCTCACCAAGGGATAGAAGGCAATAAAAAAGCAAAGGATCTAGCTAGAAAAGGAGCAAACACTCCACTAACTGGACCAGAACCGTTCTGTTTCCCAAAGCGGAACTGAAGAATGTGGAAGACTCCATCCGTAACTTAGAATGGGTGTCCTCCAACGGTCTAAAACACTCGAAAAAGTTCCTCCGAACTTACTACCGAGAGAAATCAAAGGTTTTCCTTGAGTTAAGTAAAAACAATCTTCGGATTGTCACGGGATTGTCCTCGGTGTTGCTCAATGAACACCTCAGTAGGCTGAAGCTGAGAAACAACGGCGAATGCAGATTCTGTGGGGAAAATGGGGAAACACCAGAACACCTTATCACTGAGTGCGCCGAGTCGACGACCATTCGTGACATGAACTTTGGTACGGCTGATGTCGAGGATGAAGAGCTGGCCTCTGTGGAGCCGTCTCAGATATTGACTTATGTTAAAGCCCTGGGACCGTATGATGAGTTATAACTCGTTATAACTCAAGAAAGGGGAATACACAATAGATCTGTAAGGTCGCAGTGATTAACTCCCCTCCTAAACATTCTACATTCCACATTTTGGTTTCTTCATTAATATTTTTGGTTTCATAAACAAATTATTAAACAATTATTTTCAGTTTAAAATGAAAAAAATATACATTATATAAAAAGTCATAAGTTCAAAATAAATATATACATATTTTTGCTTAGTAATTTCCAATGAAATGTTGGTTATCTACAATATCCAACTGATTCCAAATATTAAAGTGAACATTAATTACAACTAATATAATTACAACTGACAGAATTGCATGACTATGTTAAAAGAATGTTGATGTTCGAAAGAAATATGCAAATATTCGTTAATGTTGGCGTACCTTATTTATCTAGCACACATACTCATTACTTTGCCAAAGATTTTATCATTTGTTAAGATTCTTGTAAATAACAAAGAAAATTTAAAACAAAAACATTATTTTGTAGCCTATTCGATCAGTATTCATTTTTATGACCATTTAGTACTACTAAGTTTATAATGCTACATAGAGTTGTAACATTCATTATCCCATCTATTTTAAATTAAACATTCTTCGACGTATGACCTAACACGAAATGCCAAACCTATATAAATAAATCTATTATATAAGCTCCAGGTTTGACCTAGTGGAGAAAGTAAGCTCTACATTTCGACTTAAAAGATGTAGGATGACTAGACGCATTTTATAAAGAATGTCTACGATCCAATTATTAATTATCGAATGATTTTAATGGTAGATAATTATGATTAAGCTATTGCAGTATAGTCTAAGTGTGCGAACACAGTGCAAGCAGGTTTGCCGCTTACTGGTAGCCAGCGCCAATCTGGGTACCTATTCTTGACATCGTTCGCAACTTTGCGTATACGCATCACGTATATTGTTATAAACAGGGTATCCCAGAAATAAGTGCAAGTATTTTAAAGGGTGGTAGATCTCGATAAAAGAAACATATTTTCTCTTTATCGTTTTTCAAATAAGTCCAAAATAACGGAGTTATTTTACTTTGAAAATTTCCAAAAAAAATGATTTTTTGCTCAAATTTTGAGAACCTTCTTCATGTGCCTTCTCCTCATCGGAGGTTGGCGACCATCAATTGGAATTCCTCCCTGTCTTGAGCCAAACGGATAATTGCACTTGCCTCTCCTATATTAAACCATGGCACTGGCGCAAATTCCGCATGCAGGAAAACCGTTTACGCCCGATGCCTCGTCGTCCTTCAATCTTTCCCTCAACGATCAGCTGTAGGAAACTATATTTGTTATTTCGAAAAATATGACCAAAATATGCTGCTTTTCGTCGTTTTATTGTAGTCAATAGTTCTTGGTCCTTACATATTCTTTCCAATACTTCGAGATTTGTTTGAGAACCACTGGATCTTTTCTGGATTTTCTTTCTTATAAATTTAATCTACTACCTATGTTGCCATATTATCAAGAAATTATTTTTTTAAATAAAAACTAAAAAAAATTGCAAAAAAATTCCAAAAATATTTTCAAAAAATTCCGAATTTCAAAAAAAAATTATTTAGAAAAAAACCTCATAGGCGTGTTTCTGGGTTGAACTATACTACCAGTTAAGTTAAAATACTTGCACTTATTTCTGGGACACCCTGTATATGGTTACATAGTAGCGCCGCGCCGCACACTGGTTCGCTCTTATGGACGTACGTGGCCAAAACCTGTATATTATTATATCGGGGAAAATTAATGTATCAATTAATATTTTTTAGCAAATCTATAAATATTTAGGCGTTTGGAGTTGCCAAACATATAAAAAAAAGTTCTTTATCGTTAGACGTTTTCAATTATACAGGTAAAGTAACGATGGTTCATTAGAGTTTAAAAGCGCAATTTATTTACCAATATTAATAAGTATTACTTTATAAAGTTATTTAGCAAAAATTAAAAAACAACAAACAGAATGAACAATGGTTAGAAGATATGCGGTAAATCGTTGATAAGCTAATAAAGATACAGGGTGTCCCATAAGTGTGAGAAAGTTCAATATTGTCGTTGCGTAGACGAAAATATGAAAAAAGTATTATATAAATATTTGCATGTTTTATTAAGGTGTATATGCTAAAAATATTTTTTGTATAAAGGGTGTCCCAAAGTAATGATAAAGTCCTGGGCTTTTTAAATCATAACTCCCTTTTTCTGTACATAATTTGATTCAGCATAAAATTGTGCATATAGGACACTATTTTTATTTGAAAAACTATGCGGTGTTACCATGCTATTTCTTATTTATTAAAATTTTCATTAATAATAGTAGGTATATCCGAAAATTGGTTAAAATCTGAGGTTAATTTATATTTGTTAATATCTAATACTATACTATGTTAATACCCTGTACTTTACCAATATTTTCTTAACGCCAAAGAAAATAGAATAAATTTGTGAAGAAAAACTCACATTATCTTATACCGGTCATTTTTTATGGCGTGGCTAACAATGAAATATTTAAAATGCTCTATTTCAATTTTTTAAATGCACATTTATAAACCATCCAACATTTATATAAGACGTTTGTTTACAAGACAATTTATGCTGAATAGCAGATATTAGCAGCTAATTTGACATGGTTCTCAAAAGACATTATGAAGTTTCATTTAAGTTAAAAACAATCACTTAGTTCAGCTGCGATATCCTTGATTTAGTTATGTATATAAAATATATTTCACAGGTACAATATAATTTTGATATTTTCAAATGGTTAGTACTATTTTTTTTCATTTTATCTGTCAAAAACTGATATTATATGAGGAAAGTATACGTGCAGTATGGTCTAATTATAAAATACACTATTTAATATTATTTTGAAAACACTAAGTGAGTAATTTATTCATTGTCGATACAAAAACAGTTATATATGCTTTTTTAGACTATTGCATATAAAATTTTATCACATAAGTGCTCTAAAGTGCATGATTTTCCAAAATATATTTTTATAACAAACCTTTCATGTTTTTAAATATATATTATAAAATATTTGATCATATATGATCAAAATAATTTTTTTCGATATATTGAGTTTTGGCCAAATTTTTATAAGGGAGGGAACTACTGTGCGCCGCGCCGCCTCGCGCTTATAACCTTGAAAAATTAAAGCGTGTTATCAAATCGGCTAGTTCACAGTGAAAGCAGGTAGGAGCCGTCAACCAGCGTTCATCGGCGTTCTCGCTTTTACCGGAACGAAAATTTATTTATTTCTGCTTTTGCAGGCGCCGACGGCGCACAGAGGGTATTAAGAAC